GATACAATACCAGTATATAATACCTAAACTCACATCCACGCCCACCTTCAATTTCTTTTTCTTGAAATTTTATTTATTATTTTATTTTGATTTTTTGATTTTTTATTCCACAAAACATTTTTTTTCTTTTTTCAAAATCAAAATTTCATTCATGAAAGTACTTCAAATTTTTGAATTCGATGATTATGAGAATCAGCAACATAAAGATTGCCTTCGTCATCAAAAGATAAACCCACGGGACGATTGAATTGATTTGATTGATTTCCTTCACCATTTCCACCGACAACAATTTCACCTTCTTCTTTTCCCTCACACCAACGCATTACTCGATTATTATAGTAATCTGCCACATAGATTTGACCCAAATCATCAACAATGACTCCTTGAGGTAAAAACAATTGATTGAGATTGTCTCCTTGACCATTTCCTCCAGCCACAACTATTCCTACTTTTGCATCTTTTATCCATTTCATCACACGATGATTGTTTTGATCGGATATATAAACAGATTGTTCTTCATCAACAAAGAGAAAACCTGGATAAGCGAGTTGTTTGAGTCGAACTCCTTCTCCATTTCCACCTGCCACTACAATTCCTTCGTTGTCATATTCTCCCATTTTCCATCGTCTCACTTCATGGTTCTGAGGACCAGAAACATAAGGAAATCCATGTTTATCCATGGCCAAACCATAACAGTCAATATTCTGAAAAAGAATTTGTTGATTTTGATTCAAACATTGAATCATTCGTCTGTTGAAATGATCAGCAATGATAATCAAATGAGTTTGTCGATCAACAATCACATCTGTTGGAAAAAACAATTGATCCATTTGATTTCCTGGTCCATTTCCACCTGCAATGATTTGACCTTCTTTTGCATTGTATTTCCATTCAACAATACGATGATTATTTGTGTCAGGAATGAAAATATTTTTCTTTTCATCGATAAAGATTCCTTGAGGGTAAAGGACTTGATTTAATTTTTGTCCTGGTCCATTTCCACCAGCCACGGTGATGGCATTTTGTTTCCATTTACTGAATTTTGATACTAGAAAAGAATGAAGATAAAAGATATTGATGGAATGAAGAAGAAGAAAATTGTTTTTTATCGACAAAAAAAAGAAAAGATTAGTTTTCAATGAAACTTTGAGTTTGTGTTTTTGTTGAAGTTGAATTGTAAATGAAATCAGTGGCGGAGTCGGCGGGGAGTAGGGTGGCGCCCAGCTCCCTCCCCCTAGTAAGATTTTGAAAAATATCTTTTTCTGACACAAAATCTTATTATTGTTTGTAGTGGAATACTGTATGAGATATACCTTATTGTGTGGAAATTATATGTACTTTTTAAACAAATAAAAACACATTTAATATGAGCTTCAGCTAGATTTTAGAGATTTCTTAGTTTCATATTTCACTCATTGGATAACGTGAGGTGCAAACAACGCCAAATTAAAGCAAGTGTTTTTTTGCTTTTTCACACATGGTTGAATAGAGCTCGTCGAGCTGAATAAGAAGATATCAGTTTTTATATTTTTCTCGAAAGGTTTGTGTTGAAAAATCCATTGTCTTGAAAAAAATATTAGAAAAAAACTCATCTTTTAATGTCTTTTTTTTCATTTTTGAATCCCTTCATTTTACAAACATATTTTCACTAAGAAATATCAAAAAACCGTCTAAAAAAAGTCAGATCGATGCAGTTTTTCACGATAAATCTAGATATGTTATTTTCATAGTCCGAAGAAATGTAAAAGCCCTCTCAAATTGGAAAAAAACATTAAAAGATGAGTTTTTTCTAATATTGTTTTTCAAGAACATGGGTCTTTCAGCACTTTGGAAAAAATATAAAAACTGACCAATATTTACTCAACTGGACGAGCTCCATCCAACCAAGTGTGAAAAAGTGAAAAAAAATTATACTTCCTAAGATGGGCTAAAACGGTTCCGAGGGCTGAGTTCTCCCCTCTCCCCTATCTCAAAACCTGACTTCGCCACTGGAATGAATATGACTGTGCATGAGAAAATATAATGCTCACATTATTCTCATGAATAAATCGATGTTTATAAAAGATGTGTTTCTCGAGTGTTAAGTTAGTATTTTATCCAACTACAATGTCTTTCGAACACGTCGATTCTATATAAATGCTACCTGAAACATGAGATTAGGTGTTCATATCTACTGGTACTTCTACGTGCCTAATCATACCGATAAATCAGATTAAAACTGACCATATCGTGAATAAATATAGATTAAAACCTACTGTTTCAGTTATAAAAGAGGATTTTTCTTAGATTCACTTCTGTTGTTAAATAAGCAACTATGATCAGCTAGAAATGTTTAGTATGCGAGTTTGCCTAAGTTATAATGTGAGTAATTGATAGAGATGGTACTTGGAATAGACTTGTGCTGATAGTATATTACGAGAAACAGTAATAGCTATAAATAGCACTGGACATAAGTCTTCAAAAATGACTCAATAAATATTATATTTCTTACATAATCTGCTTGATGTATGATAGTACTCATGGATATTTTCAATTATCTTCTATGCTATATTTGCAAGTAATGACGTTATCTGACTTTATTTAGTTATAGTATCTATCATTATCAACCTTTTCCAATGTAATGAGGAGTTCCTAAAGTGATCACTGAGTTCTACTATGTGAGAATCTTTTTATCGGCAACATATTTGCATGATACCGTCGAAATCGATTGACATATCCAATATTTGACTATTTGTAAATGAAATTAAGTCATCAAAAATTGATCCTGTTTCTAGCTCTCATACAAAGTTCTCTGATGTTCTATAGCTAGATGAGGAACACTAGTCAGCTAAAATCAAAACATTTAGATTTGGTCATTTGCGATACTCATAGTTTGGGCTATTACACATCATCCAGCATATTACTAACCTGACGTTGTTGTTGTTGTTGTTGTTGTTGTTGTTGATGTTGATGTTGATGTGGTAGGTGATTCTAGATTACAAAAATGAGTTTAGAAAGAGATTAAATGATTGGATAACACTTTATTCCTAACTTCTTTCGTCCTCCGCTTCTTCTCTAGCAATCGATCGACCGTAACTATTAATGCATTGTAATAACACAGGAAATGTTTAGATGCCTTACATTATAATTACAATTCTATGATCTTTACTTTAATCCTAGTAGTACCATGAGGGTCGTTTTTGTCCGTTCTTTTGAGGATATATACAGTGATAAAAAAAGGCTTGGTAGTACGAGGGTTAATTATATCTCGACTATAATAATTACGACAACTCATTTAACATTTTTTATAAGTTTAATAATGAAACATTTGCAGAATTGTAGAAATTAACTCATATAATATTGGTATACTACTACTGCTCTTGAAATATTTCATTTTCATTCAAGAAGACATTCCGCCCAGAAATTTAGGGTGTGGGTGTAAATGTGAAAACAATACACTACTCACACCCACAATCACCCACACCCTATATTTTCTTATTATTTCTTATTTATTGTCTAAGATCTTGGACAATGCGCTGTAAATTTATATATAATATCGACCAAATTCTTTTTGAAACACGTCAATGTCAATTTTATTTCATCGAATAATTCTATCTATTTGTTTTTGTTACTTTTGCAATACTTGCTAGTATTAATTCTTTAGTCTGAATGGGGCCGTTTCAAGTCCCACAGATATCTCATTTACTAGGATATTTTCAAAGTAGAATTCGAAAACTAAGCCTCTAAACTAGAGATCAGCATCGGTTCTAAAAACCTTTTTTGGAACTGATACCGATCTCTACTCTCGGGTTTCGGTTCGGGGTTCGGTAGCCTAGGGACTCGGTCAGGGTTCGAGTGTCAGAAGTGATGTGGCAATGGGTGGATGTGGGTGTGGTGAGTGCGGGAACTATCCTTTTTACCCTCACTCACTATTTTCACTCACATTTTCACTTACACTTTCACCCACACCCACCCACTCCCACATCAATTCTGATACCTGAGCCCGAGCCTGACTGAGCTCGAGACTGACTGAGCCCCGAGCCTGACTGAGCCCGGATCCTGATCCACCCCGAGCCCTGAGCCTGACGGAGACCTCAGCCTGATCGAGTCCCGAGCCTGACCGAACTCCGAGCCTGGCCAAGCCAGAGACTCTCGGGCTGGGTACATCCCTAGTTATAATAAACAATGAAGGTCTACTTCGGTCATTTGAAATAATTTATCGTATATTAAGTTCAAAATAAATGATTATCTTATTTTAACTACCTGTTGTTACTTTCATTTCTTCTGTTGTTGATACTTTTTCGCTGTTTCTCTTTTTTGTTTTGACAATAACAATCGAAATTGTTATAATTATAACAAGTACAATAATAATAACTATGATGCACATCACTTTTTTTCTTTTCAGATATTCACATCTAGAATAATAACTCTTTTTTATTATTGTCTACAATTCATAACATACATACAATTTTTTTGGTTGAGTTGCATTCGAAGTAATTGTTTCAGACTAAAATAATCAAAAAAGATAAATATTATATTTTATGGATTTTCTTTTTCTCAATAAATTACATCTTCATTAACAATTCCTATTCTGTTGTTGTTGTTCATTGTTGATATCTTGTTGATAGTTTAATACTTTTACAATCTAAAATCGACAAAAAAAAATTTTCAGTCATTAATAGTATAATTATAAAGAAGCTAAACTGTTTATCTGAATATTTTTTCATAAAAAATCATTTGTTTTTCGTTAATTGTTGAAATCTATATTTCAAGTAATATCTAATATTCCTTACCGACTGATCTTAGAAGTTTTTCATTCTAATTTCAACTAGAAAATTGTTAAAATAATAAAAAAAATATTTGTCATGCTCTCTCTTTCTCTTTCTCAAATAATCAGTTCTCTTGTGACGCAAATTTTCATGTTAATGTAAAACATCATATATCAATAAAAACAATGAACTCATTCCCTTTTTCAATGTTGATTTTTAAAAACGAACTCTTATCAGATAGAGTTGTTATTTCCTATAAACATGAAACGATTTGAGACAACATTTGGTGTAATTATTATTTAATAAAACATTGAAAATCAGCGCTGTTCAAAGGATATGCAACATTTGTTCACAGAGAAAAAAAATAATCTACTATGCACAAAGATTCCTCTAAAATAATTGAGAATTAGATAATATTTAAGGTGAGAAATGGATTTTAATTTGATTTTATCGTATGCAATAATTGTTTCCAGAATAGATAAATGATTTAATTGAAAGTCGAAATAGAATATCCAAGAAAACAAAAATAATTAATACTTGATCTTCACTTAGTTATCGTCTATTAGATATGACTAATCAATAGAGAGAACTTTAATCACACTTTTAATTACAATCATAGCCATGTAAAATATGTAGATTCTTTGAATAATTACATTTAGATGTGACTATCACAGTGATTGTGGATATTATATTTTTGCCTTGTTTCTTAATTTCTGATTGAACATTTATGTAGAGAAAGTGAACACAAAGGAAACAGTAGTTATATCAATCGTCAAGTCTTGTACAATACCATGAAATCCGTTCTTTCTTTCTTTTTGAAATGAATATGAGAATGATAATTTGACAGATGAGTGTATTACTCTTATCCTGATGTTAATTCATCCACACTCTCATCAATATATTTTATACTCATCAGAATCTATTACTGAATTAATATTTTATCAACAATAATTTGATAAATAAAAATGTAGTTACAGCTTAACTCTATAGACTTTTATATGAATGAAAAATAATAAAACACACTCTTTTCTCTCAGGAAACGTCGCATTTCCTTCACATAGTGCTGATTTTCAATTTTTTTGTTTCTATAGAAATTAACTCTTGTTTCAACTAGTTTAGTTTCATATGCTACTTCGTAGATTTCGACATTTACAACAGATTATATTTTATTCAAAACTGATCTGAAAAAAGAAAGTGATCTTGTTGTTTTCATCGACATATGATGTTTTACATAAAAACGCTTGTATACAGTAAGTATTAGAACCATTCACTCATTATTATTTTTATCTTAAATCAAACAAATACATAAAAATTAAGTGAAAAATATCATTTGAGAATCCATTTCTTGATATGCAATACTATGAAACAAATAAAAACGAGAAAAATTTAATTTAATTTCTAATGATTAATTTTGAATAAAAACAATTTGCTTCTTTTTAGTTACATTCTTCAATAATTCACTTGAATGATAAAAAAAACTCTTCTCGATATTTTGCTGAAAACTGAACAAGAAGTTTATTTTTTTTCTGTATTCGCCTACCTAATGACGTCAATAGGAATTTGCTTTCTTTTTTTGAAATATTTGCAGCAAATACAACATTTGAATTTCACAATAAAGAAAAACAATAAATCTGTTTCCTGTTTCAAAACTAATATGAAATGTCAGGCATTATTTGTTGTAAATATAAAAATGTTCATGATATTGAAATGTTTGTAGGAAGGATGTGAAAACAAAGTGTTTCAAACAAAACATAATGTTATTCTTGTTCAGAATACATCGCAAATCATGTCTTTACGAAGGAAATACAACACTTCCTCAACAATAAAATAGAAGTTTTTTGACAACAAAATATTTTTATTATTTTGCATTTAGTTGAAAGATATCATATGCTGTCAGAAATGTGTTGTATAATTGATTTTATTCTTATTTCACACATTCGATAAATGATAAGAAAAGTGTAGTTGTTGATCTTCAGAATAAATCTTCATCAAATATTATTTAACAATATGAATATCATCAAATCTATGAACAAGTAGCGTTCATCGAAATTCGATTCACTTGACCCCAGACTGTCGCGGTCTGTATGCTGATATAACTCTATTTATATACGAATGAGAGTTAATCAATGTTAGTTTTGACTTTCAGCAGAGAATCAAACTGAAGTTCTATCTTATATGAAATCAAGTATTCTCTAAAAGTTTGATATTTGACGAATGAATAATAAAGTTTAAAAATGCTTTAGCTTTATTAAAGTCAATTTTATAAAAAGTAGGATTTCAAAAAAAACTGCAGTGGAGATCTTTCTATCATTATATATCAAAATTGATTTTGAACTCTTTTATCTATATGCACTATAGCAAGACTATTAAACCGACAAATTCATTGAAATATTTTGCAATAATGCATCAACTAGACTTTTAATATGATGAAATTACAATGCGTATGGTTTTAAGCTTCTAATTCTGGGTCTTATTTTATTGAGTCATCGTACAGGACGTTTCGACACATCATCGTTTTTTTCAAACATGTATTAAAAATATTTGTCGATGATGATAAATGATATGCTATATAAAAATAGGCAAACATTTTTTCCAAAGCTTTATAATACTCTATGTATACGAATGTTCCGTTTTTTATTATTAATATTATTTGATTTTCCTCCACATTAAAAGAAAACTAACGTTGCCTCATTATTTCACTTTATTCAATAAAATAATGATCTATATATAATTAAGAAATATTTTAAATATTTAAGTAAGCGCTCTTTTCATACGATTGAATAAAATATTATATATTAAATATTATGCTATTAAAATAAAACGATAATAGCAAATAAAATTATATTATCAAAAATATACCATAGTTATATGGTTATTTGCGCCAAAAAAATGGTCACTTGTGCCTAAAAAATGGTCAGATGTGCCATAAAAATGGTCATTTGTGCCAAAAAGTAAAATGGCCAAATGTGCCAAAAAATGGTCACTTGTGCCACAAAAATGGTCAAATGTGCCAAAAAAATGGTCACTTGTGTCATCTTACCGACAAAAATAATACATGTAAAAAGATAATTCCCGTTTCTAGACCCTATCCTTTTCAGTCTAGGGAATAAACGAATACATAAACAAAAGAATTAGTAATGTCACATTCACATTTAACAAAATCAACTAAACTTATTATTTTATTATCCTTTGAAATTGTTCATCATGATTAATAATTATGATCATATTAACATTGTTATAAGTAAAAATAGTCTATCAATCATTTCTTTTGTTGTATATTGATATGCAGAAGAGAACGAAAAAGAAAACATCATACTGAGACTGACATTGTGAAATATTGAATATTTTCTTAAAAACAACGACATTTTTTATCGCTTGATAAGAATTCAGTCGATAAAATTCAAATATTTTATTATGATGAAGAATTAGACTATTGAAAAAGAGTTGATTTGTTTTCTCAAATTCAAATAAATAGTTATAAAGATTTATTTTTCTAAACAAAACTTTATCAAATAATAATCGAAGAAAATTCTGTGAAATCTAAAAGTAAATTGAATGTTATACAAATTTATTCTTTTTCTTAAGTATCCGAGGATGTGGGAGTTGGTATTAGATCAACAAGGAACACTCAAATTCACACCCACACTCACACCCATGTCAATGAAAAAACGAATATTTTATCACAAGGGTGTGGGTGGGTGTGTGGGTGTGGGTGGGTGAGGGTGTGGGTGTGGGTGGGTGAGGGTGTGGGTGGGTGAGGGTGTCGGAGTATACTAGAGTTATTACCCACAGCCACACCCACACCCTCAAGATATTTTATTTCGAGAATGAATATTTTGTCATAAATATTTCTTAATGTATTTCATCGTTTTTTAAAATTTACGTCATGTTGAATAACGCTAAGAATATGTTTAACAGATTTCTAATTCTGACTGAAGATTTTCCGAAAAACAACTGAAATAAACAAACAATGAGTGATTTATTCTTGATTATATAATTATATTTATGTTTCTATAAATAGAAACTCAACTTGAATCAATCATTTCTTTGTAGAGTATTTTAGTTTGTGATGACATTTAAAATAATACAACGATTTATGGTAATTTTTTCTCATATCGATGAGAATAAATTTATTGGAAAAACAATGTATCAGTAAAAAGTATTAATGAACGTGAAATGTGTTGATATTCTCTAAAGCTTGTTTTATGTAAAGAAAAAATATCTAATATTTTAAGGTGAACGTGGGTGGGTGGGTATCGCTGTGGATCTGGGTTCGGGTGTAGGTGTGAATATTATTATCATCTCACACGTTCACTCACACCCATACCATCTTCACCCACTCATCTTGAGGGTGTGGGTATGGGTGCGGTCAGTGTAGGTAACGTGTGAGGTGATCATAATATCCACACCCACACCGACCCTCAAGAGGTACAGGATTCTCATCTTCACAATTAACTGTTCTCTTGATCTTTCGAAAATAGTTATTCCATTTCGTAACTTTTTCTGACACACTCATACGCACAAGACATCTACGTTTCTGGCTGAAACTCAGATAAAACAGAACTAAAGGTGCTGGCTTAGCATTTGTATTGAGTTAACATTAGGATAATGCCGTGCCAATACTAAACCAGCACCCATAAACACTATACGACTTACTTTGCATTCTGTTGATGCATTATATGCAGTTGCTCGTTTTGAAGCCATCTCTATGTTTTCTTCTTCGTTCGTATCGATAAGAGGTTCTTTATATTCCATAATTTGGTAATTAGGTTTAGGTGGTTTCCCAAGTGTTGGCCGTGATGATACTGTAATTGTTACTTTTTTTCCTCGTGATGTTGATTGTGGTTCTGAAAAGGTAAAAAACAATTAAGAACAAGTATTAGAAGTGCACTACTGATGAAAAATTTGTGTGATGAAATTGCCTTCATTCGAATTTGTAAAAAGAACTTATAGAAGAAAATATTTTGAAGTTAAAATTATGAGATCCATTTATCATCATAGAGATCACATCCACTTAATTACAGTATTCTTTCGACTTAAGTCATAAATATGAATATGCTTTTAAAATGCTTCGTTTTTCACACTCAAAACTAAGAGTACTACTAACTGTAACTGCACTTAGAATTGGAAAGTCATTTAGGACATTAAAATTCTTACGCAAAGAAAATATGTTTTCTTCTAAAACTGAATGTGAGTGTGGCTGTTGCAAAAATACGCGTAGTCGCATCTACTCACACCCAACCTTAAACATTATCAGACCTATGAAAGATAGTGATCCTTGATCGTGCTGTGACTGTTTTATCTAAGTATGAATAGAACCTCGATTTAGCAAAGACCTTAAAGTCTATAGAATACTTTATTAACAACTTCTTTGCAGGATAACTGACAGCCATAATTCAAATAAAATCGAATAATAAAATTTATATGATCCTTTCAAATACGGTTCAAATCTTCAATATTTTGGAACTTCTCCTCTGACTCTTATGAAATAATATCCATACCTTTGATTGTGTATTAGTATGTCGTCTTTGTTTTGAAAAAAAAATGAAAAGCTAAACGGTAACCATCTTCTTATATACAATCCTTATTTCTCTTTTTCTTTTACTTTCGAAATTGGTATATTTGGGTATCTATTACATTTCATTTATAACAAAGAAGAAGAAGAAGACCTTTAAGAAATAGCTAGGATGAATTACAATAAAACAATTTAAAAAAATTATCTTTTAACTTGTAATATGATATTGATCATGAAATGAGAAAGAAAAAAATTTAATTTGCATTTGAAAATCATAAAAATTCAATAAGAATTCATCAGAATCTATTCTTATCCAGAATAAATTGAACATACATATAACACTTGTTACATGATGTATAGTCGATTTCAACATAATTCTAATTGTACTACATAACGAAAAATAATAAGAAACTGAAGAAATATGGGTACCAGCACTCTCCGTGTTGATGTATTGATTGAATAATATGATTTTTATTATAACAACACATGAAACAATATACACCTTAATTATGTTAACGTCTAGTTTTGATTACCTTCAACTAATTTCTATTTCTAATTACATCTGAACGTATTCTTTTGCTTTACATATTTCATTTGTTGAATGATTTTCTAACTGAAATTTATAATAATAAACATATAAAGAGAAAATAAAGCTATAGATAAAGATAATTTTATGTAACTATAAATCTTGATTTATTAGAGAAATTATTCATATGTAAATTTAAACTATCTCTATCTAATAGCTTTTGAGTCTAGATCAATAAGTACATATAAAATAAAACTAATCTCTAAGTTTTCTATTTGTTTCATGATAAATAAATTTAATAATATGAGCAATATTATGTCAGAGTTTGTTTTGTATCTAATAATATTAATTCTAAATGATTAGTTGAAGAAAATATTCAACATGAATATATATCATCTCAATTTAAATCTGATAAAACTACTATTCATGGATTTTTCTATTTAAGAAAACAGATCGTTTACAAGTTCATATTTTGTACAAGAGTGTGGGCATTGATCTTTGAATGATCCATACCCACATCCAGTCAGGACTTTAGGCGATACTACCTGTTGTTAGTCAATGTCTTTCTCTCAGGTGACTTCATTCGATGCGCAAATCTGCTGCTAACATTACTTACGATTTATGGATCTATTTTCAAGAATCAAACTCTCAAATCACATGAATAAGTGTTATTTTATTTTTGAGTCATTTCTTCAACTATTCTGATGACACAATTTTCTTAATAAATTCGACTTTGAAATGTTAATATGAATGAAAAAATAAAAGTCTCACCTTCAAATTCTTTTTCTCTTCATGAAATTTGAAAATTTTTCATAAACAACTTTGCTGATTCGAAACTATAAGAAATAATTTGATTTGTTTATAAGAAAGAAGAAAATTGAATTACATTTGATAAAGAAACTCTCAAATACTTATTTTAATTTTTTTAAAAAATAAAAAACATCTCTTGGCAAGTTTTATTAAAAGAAATCAGATAGAAATCAAAGTTGAATTATATAATATTTCAATGTCTTGTTCATTTTTGTTTCGTATTTCATTTTCATAAATTACCTTTCGATTCAATTTTTATTCTCAATTTTTCATAAAGTATTTCTTTTTTTTCAAGCTTTAGTCGATTTTTTTCACTGATTTACAACAATAAAAGTTTATTTTTTCTTCTATTTCTCAATTATTTATTCAATAAAAAACTTCTTTCTTTTTTTCAAAATCAAAATTTCATTCATAAAAGTACTTCAAATTTTTGAATTCGATGATTATGAGAATCAGCAACATAAAGATTTCCTTCATCATCAAAAGATAGACCTTGGGGATAATTCAATTGATTTGATTGAAGTCCTCTGCCATATTGACCAACAACAATTTCACCTTCTTCTTTCCCTTCACACCAACGCATTACTCGACTATTCTCATGATCTACCACATAAATTTGACCCAGATCATCAACAATGACTCCTTGAGGTGAAACCAATTGATTGAGATTGTCTCCTTGACCATTTCCTCCAGCCACAACTATTCCTACTTTTGCATCTTTTATCCATTTCATCACACGATAATTGCTTCTATCTGATACATAAACAGATTGTTCTTCATCAACAAAGAGAAAACCTGGAAAAACGAGTTGATTGAGTTGATTTCCTTGTCCATTTCCACCTGCCACTACAATTCCTTCGTTGTCATATTCTCCCATTTTCCATCGTCTCACTTCATCGTTCTGAGGACCAGAAACATAAAGAAATCCATGTTTATCCATTGCTAAGGCAAAACAGTTACTATTCTGAATAAGAATTTGTTGCTTTTGATTCACCCATCGAATCACTCGACCGTTCCCATAATCAGCAATGATGATCGAATGATTTTGTTGAACAATCACATCTGTTGGAAAAGACAATTGATCCATTCGATCTCCTTGCCCATTTCCACCTGCAATGATTTGACCTTCCTTTGCATTATATTGCCATTCAATAATACGATGATTCTGTAGATCAGCAATGAAAATATTTTTCTTTTCATCAATAGAGATTCCAGCAGGAGCATAGAGTTGATTTAATTTTTGTCCTAGTCCATTTCCACCAGCCACAGTGGTGGCATTTAGTTTCCATTTGTCGAATTTCGGTTCTACAAAAGGATAGAAACAAACGGTTTTGATGGAAAGAAGAAGAAGAAGAAAATTATTTTTTATCTCAGAAAAAAAAGGAAAAGATTAGTTTTCAATGAAACTTTGAGTTTATTTTTTAGTTGAAGTTGAATTGTAAATGAAATCAGTGGCGGAGTCGGCGGGGAGAAGGGTGGTGCCCAGCTCCCTCCCCCTAGTAAGATTTTGAACAATATATTTTGCTGACACAAAATCTTATTATTGTTTGTAGTGGAATACTGTATGAGATATACCTTATTGTGTGGAAACCATATGTACTTTTTAAAAAAATAAAAACACATTTAATATGAGCTTCAGCTAGATTCTAAAGATTTTGTCAGTTTCATATTTCACTCATTCGATAACGTAAGCTATAAAAAACGCAAAAATAAAACAAAAGTTTTTTTCGCTTTTTCACACATGGTTGGATCGAGCTCGTCGAGCTGAGTAAGAATATATCAGTTTTTATATTTTTTTCGAAAGATTTTTGATGATAAATTTCGATTTTTTTTCCCAAAGTGCGGAAAGACTCATTTTCTTGAAAAAATATTAGGAAAAACTCATCTTTTAATGGTTTTTTCACTTTTGAATCTCTTTATTTTACAAGCATATTTTCAGTAAGGAGCATCAAAAAAAGATCAGATCAATGCAGTTTTTCATGATAGTTCTAGTTATGTTATATTCATAGTCCGAAGAAATGAACAAACACTCTAAAACTGGAAAAAACATTAAAAGATAAGTTTTTTAATATTTTTTTCAAAAAAAAAGTCTTTCAGCACTTTGGAGAAAATATAAAAACTGACCAGTTCTTACTCAGCTCGACGGACTCTATCCAACCGAGTGTGAAAGAGTGAAAAACAATTTGCACTGGTTGCGTAAAAAAATTATACTTCCTAAGATGGACTAAAACGGTTCCGACGGTTGAGCTCTCTCCCGTCCCTAGCTCAAAGTCCTGGCTTCGCTGCTGGAATAGATGTGACTGTGCATGAGAGAATATAATGCTCACATCATTCTCATGAAAAGATCGATGTTTATAAAAGATATGTTTCTCGAGTGTTAAGTTAGTATTTTATCCAACTACAATGTCTTTCGATCATGTCGATTCTATATAAATGCTACCTAAAACATGAGATTAGGTGTTCATATCAACTATGGTACTTCTACGTGTATAATCATACCGATAAATCAGATTAAATCTGACCAGATCGTGAATAAATATAGATTAAAACCTACTGTTTCAGTTATAAAAGAGGATTTTTCTTAGATTCACTTCTGTTGTTAAATAAGCAACTATGATCAGCTAGAAATGTTTAGTATGCGAGTTTGCCTAAGTTATAATGTGAGTAATTGATAGAGATGGTACTTGGAATAGACTCGTGCTGATAGTGTACTACGAGAAATAGTGATAGTTACAAATAGCACTAGACATAAGTCTTCAAAAATGACTCAATAAATATTACATTTCTTACATAATCTGGTTGATGCATGAAAGTATTCATGGATATTTTCAATTATCTTCTATGCTATATTTACAAGTAATGACGTTATCTGACTTTATTTAGTCATAGTATCTATCAATATCTACCTTTTCCGATGTAATGAGGAATTCCTAAAGTGATCACTGAGTTCTACCATGTGAGAATCTTTTTATTGACATATCCACTATTTGACTACTTGTAAATGAAACTAAGCCATCAAAATTTGATCCTGTTTCTAGCCCTCATACAAAGTTCTCTGATACTCTAAATCTAGATGAGGAACACTGGACAGCTAAAATCAAGACTTTTAGATTTGATCATTTGTGATACTCATCGCTTAGGCTATTTCAAATCATTCGGCATATTACTAACTTGATATTGTTGACGTTGTTGTTGACGTTGTTGTTGACGATGTTGTTGATGATGTTGTTGACGTTGTTGTCGAAGTTGATGTGGTAGCTGGTTCTAGATTACAAAAATGAGTTTAGAAAGAGACTAAGTCATTAGATAAGGCTTTATTCCTAATTTCCTTCGTCTTCTTCCTCTTCTTCTTCTGCTCTGACAATCAATCGACCGTAACTATTAGTGTATTGTAATAACATAAAAAATGTTTAGATGCCTTACATTATAATTGCAATTCTATGATCTTTGCTTTAACCCTAGTAGTACCATGAGCGTCATTTTTGTCCGTTCTGTTGATGGAATATGCAGTAATAAAAAAGGCTTGATAGCATCAGGGTTAATTACATCTCGACTATAATAATTTTGACAACTCATGTTACATTTTTTGTAAGTTTAATAATGAAACATTTGCAAAATTGTAGACGTTAACTCATATAACATTTGTATATTCCTACTGTTCTTGAAATATTTCATTTTCATTCAAGATGACGTCATTGGGTCCTAATTAGAGCTGCTAGAATAGCTTTATTTCTTTTTCAAACTATTTTTGATCATCACCACGATAAAAACAAATAATGTATACTTTCTTATTATTTCTTAATTAACATTATTTGATGAAATAATGTTAATTAAGAGATAGAATGTAATTTTCGTCATTGTTCGATGTACTAATACAAAATCGACAATATTTTCCAACTCAGAGGTGTGGTGTGGGTGTGGGTGTGGCTGCGGGTAATAACTCTAGTACACTCCAACACCCACACCCTCAAGATCTTGCCGACTTCTAAACCAATCAAATTGTTTTTTTGTTGAAAAGAGCAAAGTCTGAACTACAAATTTTGTACTACATGTAGACACATTTTTCTAGAACGAATCCGAGAAGGAGAAAAAGTCAAAAAGTAAATACCTCTAAAAAA